CGCAAAGTGAGGTAGGAGATGATGCAATTGCCATTGCAGAGCCACGCTACGCCATAGACTCTCTGAGCCGTAGATCCACACGTCCCACCTGCGACACACTCGTCTGCTGCGCAGAACCGTCCTCGCATCCACCTGCGTCATGATCATGCAAAAGGCCTCCTCTGGCAGGCGTTGCAAGGCGTCGAGCATCTTGAGCAAAGGTGCAGAGACTTTCGTATTCTCGTCCCTTCATCTCTTTCCGACTGCCGGCTTTGATCAACTGACAAGCCGCTCGAGTGTGGGCTTCATCTGGTCAGTGTCCCTCTGTCGAACCATAACCCAGAGCTTTAGCCGATTGCTAATGTGTAGATGTGCCAGCAGGAGAAGGTGAACAGCCTTACATCCGCAGGTACCCCCACTGACCTGGGGTGCCAAACCGGCGATAGAGTCGAGTGGAGTAGCAATCGTCAATCGCCGATCTGAATGCCAGGTAGCAATGATGCTGTCAGGTAGAGTAACGAGCGAGCCCACGACACGTGCGTGTACGTGATTCAGATTCAATTCACATTGTTGGGCCACCAGCTTCACCATCGTCCGTGCACATGCAGCTGCACCACGTTTGAATCACAATCACCAATCGAAATTATAAACAAGAATTTGCATCTGACTTGACAATCCAGGGTTCACCTGAATTGGCGTCCGCAAATCAACGGAACAAGAACCGACGCGTTTGACGCGTCGCGGCGCGCCTCCTTAAATTGACGCGTGCACAGCCACACTTCACCCTCGCCGTATGCTCTACCGCGCGGTAAGGTGCATGCCAGCCCATGCATAGAAGCTTTGCATTTTGAAGCAGACCTGTGACTAGCCTGATAAACAGGCCCCATCCTTCTGCAAAACCACCACGTCCCTCGAGAAGCGAATCGCCAGGTCGCTATTGGTCCTGCTGAGCTTTGGCGCTGCATGCCGTGCGTCTCACCGCGCATACAGGCTGATCGATCGATTTCAGGGCTACGCAACCAGATTACAGGGTCTAAGCGTGCGGGCCAGCTGGGATCAACATTGACTGCTCCGATGGGTGCTGCCTGCCAGCAAGAGCCCGGCTCGGGAGCGGGTCCCAACGCTGCGCAAGAAAGCGGCTTACACCGTCTAGCAGAGGAGACGCTCTCTGGCATTCTAGTTGAAGTAGATCCCAAAACCATCCTGCGCAGTAGACGCCGTTTGTAGGAGGTGGAGAGAATGGATCGACAGGTCGGAGCTGGTTTGGCGAAGCATAGCATTCCAGTGGGGTCTCATAGACCATCTTGCTGCGCCTCTTTGTGGTCAACCTCAGCTAAGCGTGTACGACGCCCAAGCGTTGTCGAGCGCAATGTCCTATTTTGAAGGCATCAAGTCTTTCAAGACAGTCTGTTGCAGATATTTGACGCTCACATTGACATGGCATACGCCGGCCGTGTTTCAAAAGCTAGCAAGC